GGAGAGATGTCTGTTTAAGTCCTTGCCCATCTTCGAATTGGGTTGTTTTGTTGTGGAGTTGTAGGCAATCACAAAATTTATATGCTGAGAACCTCACTCCCAATGTGACTATATTTGGAGAGAGAGGGTCTTTAAAGAGATACTTAGGGTAAATGAGGTCCTGAAGTGGTTGAATAACTAGTGTCCTTATAAGAAGAGGAAGGGACACCAGAGAGCTCTCTTTCTCTCCTTCATCTCTCTTCCTCACTCCCTGTGTGCACAGAGAAAAGGCCATGTGAGGACACAGAGAGGACAGCTTGTCTGCAAGCCAAGTAGAGGGGCCTCAAAAAAAAAAATATATATATATATGCATTTCTGTTACTTAAGACACTCTGTGATATTTTGTTATGGCAAGCAGAACAGGCTAAAAGACTCACAAAAAAAAAAAGAAAGAAAGAAAAAAAGAAAAATTGATCATTGTAAAACCTCTGCCCTCTGAAAGGTACCATATGGAAAGAAATACAGGATGAGAGAAAGTATCTACAAATCACTTATCTGAAGAAATATTTCATAGAATATACATAACCCTCCAAATCAGTAACAAAAGGGACTTTTTAAAATGGAAAAACAGAATAAAACAGGCACTTTCCCAAAACAAAAAGAAGCTCATTATCAAAATTAGGAAAATCCATTACAAATCTAACATCATGGTTCAATTTTTAAAAACTGACGTTAGTAAGTGCTGGTGAAGAGGTAACTAGGACCCTCCCTGCTGATATGGGAATGCAAAGTGATGCAGCCACTTTGAAAACCACTTGGACAGTTTCTCCCTTGTTATGAGACCCAGCAATTCTACTTACTCCTTGGCATTAACCCAAGAGAACGAAGACATGTGTTCACCCAAAGAAACCTGCAGATGAAGTGTGCATGGATGGAGATTGTCTCAAGGGGGCAAAATTGCGACGACGTGTGCAGTCGGGGGGAGAAATAAAGAAAGTCCACGGGCTTCTGCCCCTTTTCAATGCTTTATTCACTCAAATTACTCAATACAGATTTACTCTATAGGTTCTTAATCAAGGAAACGACAATCCTTAATGCTAGGCGCTGCMATAGACAAAATCAATTCACAGCAAATATTCTAGATTAATTAATTCACAGCAAACAATTCTAGATTAATTCTAAGCACTGCAAAACACACTTAACCATGGCAGACATTCCCTCTTCGTGCTAAGTTCAAAGGTCTCAAGCCTTAGGCTTTGAGTCCAGCAGATGCACACTCACTCAGACTGCGGTGATCGAGTCCGGAACCAAGGCAGGCTTTTCCTGGTGTGGAGTGGACAGCCGGTTGAGGAGGGGGTCGTAGGGAGGAGTTGGCTGTCACCAAGGTCCAGACAAGGCGGCGGTAGAGTTTGAGAGCGGTGAGGATCACGCAGAGGCTCAGGAACAAAGACAAGTAATGGGATGTCAGGTCCTCATCAGGCTCTCCAGCTGGTGTGCATCCTTGTTTCCGCTGGCTGAATCCCTGTTCATTTGCTCTATCATTTATACTAAATTTTGGGGCTTTTGACCCTCCCCCCCTTTCAATTCTCAACAGCTACCACCGGATTTCTCAGTGACATCATTTACCCTGAGACCAGAAACATCTGGCCTGGTGGTCTCCACCCTGATCTTCTCGCCTTTCCCTCTTATCAGGCAAGGACAGCCTGCCAGGGGCTTCACCCTCTTTTATCAGGGTGAGGGGAAGTAACTTGTTTGAGGCCATACTGGAGGGATCTGTGGATGTGCCTGGTGAGACTGCAGGTCTTTTAAAGTGAAGCTAAAATGGAGTTGCTTAGGCTCAGACCTAAGGCCATCCTACCAGAGATCATCAAATATACATTGACTAGGAAATGGATAAATAAATTGTGGATCATCCATATTATATCACTGCTTATTTTTTTAAAAAATGAATTACTAAAACATGAACAACACAAACCTGTGTCAAACTGAATGGCGCTTTGACTCCTAGATCTGTCACAATCTATGTGGCTCTGGACAATAGGCCGGTGCTCTCTGGTCCAATTTTGTCAAAGTCTGAAATGAGTCAGAGCAATGACCTTGTGGAAACCCTTTGTGAACCATCACTGGGGGACCCCTGAAGTCAGGATATTCAGGAYGGCAAGGACTGTGTGACAACACAGCATTTGTAGAGAATGGAGAATGAGGGCCCTGGGGGCTGTCCTGGGATAATGGAGACACCCTCTGCCTGGTGACCCTTTCGGCCTGACCTCACTCTGGAAAGTTCTGCAATGAAACAGCCCTTCCTTGGCAGCCTGCCCCTTAGCCTCCCTAGAACACTTTGTACTTCTCAAAACTGCTCTGAACATTCTGCTGCCAGAATCTCTGGTGGCTTCTGGAGATAACTGCATCACCGTATCTTGCTCCTTCTGGGCAGSGAGATCAAGAACTGCTTCCGTTTTGCAGACCTGCTCCAGCCTGGGCTTTCCTGCCTCTGCCAGGACACTGGGCAGGGAAGTCTAAGGTCGGAGGGGTGCTCTCTTTTCAGGTAAGATTTCTATTCCCCGAGAGTATATCTCCCCGAGAGTATATACCCCTGCTTCCTACTTCACCGGAGCTGAATGCTCTAAGATAAAATTGGTTTCCCAGGAGCTGGAAACTTAATTTTAGGGCTACAAATACAGAGGGCCTGCCAGTGCCCGAGGGCTGGGAGCCCAAACACGTGACACACAGTGAGGTTTCATCAGCAGTCCCTTCTCATTGTATCTTCTCTGTATTTGGGAGCAGGTTACTCGCTCAGCGCTGCAGAGGCCACAGCACTGGTTTTTAGGCAGGTGTGATGTTAGCGCCTAGGACCGGAAGGAAATCACACCTGCCCTTGAATCAGAGCTCTCTCAMGGCTAGCTCGTGACCCAGGGCGCGTCCTGAGCCTCGGTTGTTATTTTTAATGCAGATGGTTATGCCAACCTCAGAGGGATGTGAGGTTTACCGAGTCATCTCGTGAAAAGAACAAAGCAACTTCTAAACATAATAGCAGTTGTCTCTCCGGGCTCAGTAACCTGCCGGGGGCGGTCTGCTTGACSGGTGATGACTCACCTAGGTTTCAAAATACACCAAGCAGTCATTACCAAAAGCCTCAAGTTCTACCCGGCCTCGCGCAGAAGCAGACCCCGCGCCCGCGGATCGCGGTACCGCGGTCTGGTAGTCGGGGGCGTCCCCTCCCGGGGCGGCCACGGTTTTCCTCCGTCGGCCAGGCTCACGGTGCGCACCGATCGCCTGCTCCGATGCCGCTTGGAGAGAYCCCCTTGGCCCTCCGCTCGCGCCCTCGGGGTCAGCCCTCTTTTCTCTGGAAGTTGCCAGGCTGGAAGGAAACTTCCACAGCTCGTCCCACGGATCCCCACCCCAGGGCGCAGGAGCCGGAGCGCCGAGGTCCGCCCGCACCTACGCAGATGAGCCCACGGCGCGTTGCCAGCGCGCAATCGCGCGCCAGGAGGGGCCAGGCTGAGGTCCTGGGGCGGGGCGCTGAGGTCCTGGCCTCGAGGTCCCGGTTTTTCCTCCGAGGGTTGGAAGCTGCCCTKGCCCGTCTCACCGCCCGCGTGCAGATTACGGCCAAGTTTACCGCAAAATATGTCGCGAGGTCCTCAGTCAAATCCTCAGTCAAAATTACCGGAAAAAGTAATAGCTTCCAGAGACGTTGCGAACAGCTTGGGAAATTTGAATGTGGATTCGCGTTTAGAAATAATAAAGGAGTATTACACATTCTCCTAATTTTTAAATGGAGAAAATATTTAGCCAAATAAAGGCATGCATTGTGAAGCACTGAGCGTGGAAGCGGATCTTTGCTAATTCACGTTACAGTTTTTCATCAGATACTAACAAAGCAAATATAAGTAAAACTGTTACCGAAAGCTCAGTCCTTGTCCCCAGGCCGATTTAATAAGGAGGACACGGCTTTGAGGAAAAAAAGGAAAAAGAAGGCTTGTTGCTTTGCTAACAAAGGGGAAGCACAGGTTCTGCTCCTCAGGGAGAACAAAGATTTTTTTTTTTTTTTTTTAAGAGGATTCAAAGGCTACATACCAGGTGTGCCCTGACCCGAGTAGAGTGTGGTGTTCCCAGGTGCGCCCTGGTGACGTGTTGAAATTCACTTGTAGGAGCTAGCCATTCCTTAGATCTTCTAGCACCATTCCCCAAAGTCTGAATGACTTGGTTCCTGTGGTGGCTTTGGGTTAAGGACTGATGACAAGGTCTAGGATGGGAAAAAAATAATCCCTGCCTCCAGGTTAAGGAGGGGGGAGAGGGTGAAGAGCAAAAGAAAAACAGGCCCCCTTTTAAATATTAGCCTCATTGTAGTGAGGGCGATATTCAGAAGGTCAAGTGCACATCTGTTACAGACGTTATGCTTTCTTAAGCCAAAGGCATGACTATAGATGGATGCTCATTTTACCTTTTTCTACTTTTTTTGGGGTGTGCTTGAATATTTTGCAATCCAAAGGAAAAAAGGACGAAAAAGAAATAAGGATTCTCCTTCCATCAATGTGCCTTTTAGACTTAAAGCTGCCCAGAGAAGTCAAGATACACAAACATCTCTCCTAAGAGGGTTGTGAAATAAACAAAATGTTTGAACATGGAGCACAACAGTACTATAAAAGGAATCTACGTGTAACCAAGGGGTTCTATTTATTTCAGGAAGGAGGGGAAAGCCCCCCGAAACTTTACAAGACTACATCATATACAAAAATACACCGCAGATAAGGAAACAGTTACCCGGCATAGCACGGATCTTCCAGAGCTGCTCCCACTTCACGTGAGCAAGCCTGCTGATATTTCATTTAAAAAAAAAAACAAACAGATTAGGGACACGCAGGCATACATTATAGAAACATCCCAGTGTGTATCTGCTCAACATTACTAACGTCAATCATTTCTTCTATGAAACGGTAAATTTAAATACTGGTCCTGTCCGCACGGAGGAGGGGAAGGATGGAGTCCAGAAGCCTGCGCATGCGAGGGAGCGCGCAGCGCACTGGGGCGCAGCCGTGTGGCGGGCGCTGGCACCAGCCTGGCGAGGGAGCCACCGCAGTCGCCGSCCCGCTCGCGGGAGCCTGCGCTGGGCCCCCGCTGATTCCTGGAGCTGGGGCGGCGGCCAGCGCTCTTGCCCTGTCTGCATCGGGCGGCCGCGCTGGACCAGGTCCAGCGTCCTCGGTCGCGCTTGGCTGGGCTCTGGGCACCGGGCTTTTGGGCCCCGGGCTGGGTCTGGGGGCGGCTCCCGGGGCTCGCGGTTGGCAGGCGACTTCGCTGCCCTGCACCCGCACAAGTGAAAGCATTCTGTGTCTGCTCTGGTCCGAGTCTTCTTTGTGGGTCAGCGCCCGGGGTCATGGCTGTGTCCTCTTAATCGGAATGAATTTCCCGTTCTTGAAATAATGACCCTACTCAGTAACGTGTGGGCAAAGGACAAAATCCGTCTTTTCCATTAACAATTTATTGGCTTATTAATAATCAGATCCTCTTCTATTGCATTAAATGCAGTTTTCTATATAAAAATATTTGAAGTTGTGATGCAAAAGCTAAATGTAACTATAATGATTGTTCACCCCAACATTTATTCACTTTGTGAGAAGCTTGGCAACTTGAGCTCTGTATTGAGTATAATAAGGAGTCTTGTTTTTTAAACTCCTGAGTTTTTCCTGTGGACTGTTTAAATATATTTAGGGGCTGGAGGTGTAACTCAGTGGTAGGAGCGCTGGTGTTGCCTGCCCTGCGTGAGGTCCTAGCTTTCCGTCACCAGCATCCCAGAATAAAAACAAAAAAGTTTCTTTTAAACTTTAAATATACAGCTTGATTTGATAAAGTATATGGCAGTGCATCATGTGATAACAGCGGAAGCTCCCTCCCTCCCACGCTCCATCCCACCTCCCAAACAAAACAGGTGGTCAATCAAGAGAGGTCAGTAGAGGAAAGGAACGGGGTGGGGTGGGGGAGGGAGCAGAGGAGGGAAAGGGGAAATACTGGGGAATGATACTGGCCAAATAACCTTTTTATATTGTGTACTGTTCAAATATGCAACAATGAATCCCACCATGATTTACAGCTATAATGCACCGATAAATAAATGTGGGAAAACAAAGAAACAACAACAAAAAAGTATTTGCTGATGCTTAATTCTAAAGTTCCTGCTGGAGCAAAGAATGCATATCCAAAACCATGGTTACTACTTCTTTAAACTCGTTTCTTTTTTTTAATTTTAAAGTTTATGTATGACCGTAGACTCCCAGATTTGAAGATTTTTATTTATTTATTTATTTATTAGTTTTTTCGATGGATACAATATCTTCATTTTTATGTGGTGCTGAGGATGGAACCCAGTGCCTCACACATGCCAGGAGAGCGGGCTACCACTTGAGCCACATCCCCAGCCCTTTAAACTTGTTTCTAACACATAAAATTGTCTCATGTCTCATTACTTGGTCAGAGCTATGTACAACTAAATAATTCTTTTCCCTAACTTCATGATGGGGGTCTATCATGCTTGTTTAACGATCCCTTGTGACAGATGTTTAGCTTGATTTCAGTAGTCACTGTTGTAATTAATATATAGTAAACATTGCCCATGCATCTTTTGCATGTGATTATTCTTTTGTCATAAATATCCAGATAAGAGAAATTGCCCAGTTGAAATGTGTTAACATGTATAAATTAAAAATTTGATAGATGCTAATAGTCCTCAGAAAGACAGTTTCATTTTATACTGTTTCCTAACATCCATTTCAACGTCAGATAGCATGCATTTTTGTTTAAATATATATATTTTTTTAGTTGTCAATGGACCTTTATTTTATTTATTTATTTATATGAGGCGCTGAGACTCAAAAGTCAGGGCCTCACACAGCGCTCTCCCACTGAGCTACCACGCATTTTGGGTAGTTGATTAAAGAAATGCTTAAGGTTAAACATCAAGTTGTACACCTACTTTTTTTTTTTTTTATAACTGCTTAAGGAATTACTGTTCATGTTCTAATGGAGAGAAAGAGGCCTTTACATACATTCATTCAAAACCATTTATTGAAAACCTGCTGTGTGACAGACATCAATGGATGCTGGCATAATAACAAGGAATAATAGAGATAAAAAATCCCCACTCTGATATGGCTCATTGTTAATAGCAAGGGGACACTTGGGGCATGGAACAAAAGGGACTCTTGACAAAAAGCACAGACAGGGTTCGTGAGGCACTCTGTGACAAGTGACAGTAGGAACCATTATGATCACCAGGCTTGATGTGAGGGGAAGGGAAAATTACAAGAACTTGGCAGAAAAGCCCAGCCGGATGGGAGCTGTGGCCTTAGAAGAGGAACATTGTGATAGYTCAGTCCTTGTCCCCAGGGCCAGTTCATGCCAATTTAGTGACAGTTTAGGACACAGTTTTTCTTTGCTAGCAAAGGARAAACAATAGGGGACTCTTGTCCCTGAGGCTGTGATTCTGCCCATTRGAGGAACAGGGGCCTTTGAAAGGAGCTATTCAAAGGCTACATTCTAGGTGTGCCTGGACAGGGGGTCTCAGGGCACCCTGCTGGAGTGTGGGTTGGGAGACACTCACTTCCTGGATCCTCTGGCAGACACCTCCTTCCTGTGGAGCACAGATAGCACAAGGTCATCTGAGGGAGAAGAGGAAAAGGAAAACGTGTCCCTCTTCAAATTGAGCCTCAGAGCTATATTCAAAGGTGAAGTGGACACTGCTAGAGAAGTACGGCCGCATGTCCTCCAGGGCTTCTTGTTAAGTTTTCCAGTTAGCTTCTTTCCTATCCCTGGATTACCAGTGAAGTCATGAGTCGTTATTACTCATCCACACAGAGAGGACCACCAAATGCACCTCCCCAAACTCTGCCTCTTGACCGCAGCCTTTCAGGAGCTCCTCCCAGGGGGGCTGACGTGCAGGGCTCATGCACTTCCAGATGATGCCGCAGGCCTTGCAGACAGACCTCCAAACCAGGAAGATGCTTGCTTTTCCCTCTTAGTTGTTTATGGTGGACTCCTCATAGGGCCATGAGGTGTGCTGAGGGGTCACGTGTCAAGGCATTAGGAACAAGTACTATGTGAGTGAACCACTTGCTTATTACACACTTGTGCCTTTGGGTCCTGTTTTCTTTCTACTCCCCTCCCCCAATATTTGCCATTCTATCTGACAAAGAAATAACTTTGCATACATCCAATATTTTGATTCGGTGAAAGAGATAATGGAAGTTTATAATGGATATTTTGGCTTGCATAAGCACTTGTTCTCCCATGCTCAGGATTTGGTCTCTCTCAGGCTTCAGTAACCAATCAGAAGCTACTTTCACATGGAGGACAGTTCTCATGAGTTGAAGACATGCCTCACTCCAAAACCCTCAGAGCCTGATCTATGGTGAGGTTTCTGATCTATGAACACAGTATGTCTTTCCATTTATTTAGATCTTCTTTGATTTTTAAAATTAGCATTATATACATTTAATATGTTTGCATATTATAAGTTATAGATATTTGGCTTTTTAAAAAAAATTTGTTTTGTGATGCTGGGGATGGAACCCAGAACTCTGGTGCCACACTAGGCAAACATTCTGCCACTGAGCTACATCCTCAGCCCAGCATGTTATAGTTTATGAACAGAAGTGAGGAGAATGGAAGTCCTTCCTTTGGTCCTGTATTTTTTACCTTTTGCATTAAAGACTATGATCTACTTTGTATTAATTTTTATGTATATTATGAAGCAAGGAATAAGAATGGAACCTTCCCTAACCCCCACAAATATCCAGTTGTCTTATCACTATTTATGGAAAAGACTGCCTTTTCCTAATTGAAAAGCTTGGCAAGTCTGTAGCAAATCAGTTGCTCAGGCCATAAATGCATGAGTCCTTTTCAGGACGTCATATTCTGCTTCATTGATCTGTTTGTACATCCTTATTCCAACACCATGCTATCTTTTTTCTCGGGGGGGGGGGGTGGTACCAGGGACTGGACTCAGGGGCACTCAACCACCGAGCCACATGCCCAGCCCTATTTTATATTTTATTTAGACACAGAGTCTCACTGAGTTGCTTAGTGCCTGGCTTTTGCTGAGGTTGGTTTTGAACTTGCAATCCTCCTGCCTCAGCCTCCCCAGCTGCTGGATTATAGGTATACTTCTCCYGACAATACTATCTTGATAACTGTAATTTTATACTAATTCTCTAAATAAAACAATATGAGTCCCCCACTTTATTTTTATTTTAATTTTTAAATTTTTTGTGTTTTTTAGATTTTTATTTTTGTTGTTGTTTTTATTTTTTAAATTTATTTTGGTTATTGGGGCTGGGGCTTTAGCTCAGTAGTAAAGCGCTTGCCTCACATGTGTGAAGCCCTGGGTTCAATCCTCAGCACCATATGAAAATAAATAAATAAAATAAAGGTATTGTGTCCAACTACAACTAAAAAATAAATATTTAATAAAAAAAGTAATTTTAAAAATCACATTCACCTAGCTTGAAGCTGTATTCATACTTAAAAAAAAAGATTTTTAAAGCAAGTGTTATAAGCAAGTGGTCACTCACATAATTCTTATTTAAGATTTTTTTTTCTTTTGAGATGGAGTCTCATTATGCTGCCCAGGTGACCTCAAACTCCTGAGCTCAAGCAATTCTCCTGCCTCAGCTTCCCAAGTGATGGAGACCATAGGTGAGGGTCGTCATGCCTAGCTCAGACTTTTATTAATCAACTATTTGACATTTATTAAATGAAAAATGTGTTCACCAAAAAAGGAACCAAAATTCCTTAAGATGTCATTTTGTGTTTCAAGATGCTATAGATCCCTGTGCAGAAAGAGAGGTCAAAGTTAGGAGAAAGGCTACTAGATCGGGTTTTATAAAGACAAATGACTTGCTGCATTGCCAGACGGAAGCAGCCTTAGTYATCTGAAAGTAGGGCATATTCATCTATTATTATTCATAATAAATATTCATATTCATATTAGCATCCACCACCAAATAAATTTTTCATTATTTCTTTTTGCAAATTTCATATGGTGAATTACTTTTAAGCTAGAGCACAAATAAACAATTGGGCATTTCTTAAAAAAATAGGCTCTTTTAATTAGGGATTTTTGAATTACCCTTTGATTTTCTTTTCCATTGTAAGCACAATTATAGAAATCATATGACATTTGATGAACATGCTTCTATTTCATTTTAAAAGATGGTCTTCATTACTTATTTCTTATTTTTTGTGGTGGTGGGGGCAGTACCAGGGATTGGACTCAGGGGCACTCAACCCCAGCCCTATTTTGTATTTTATTTAGAGACAGTGTCTCACTGAGTTGCTTAGTGCCTTGCTGTTGCTGAGGTTGGCTTTGCATTCAGGATCCTCCC